AAGAACAGAAGTGTGTAGGAAATGACTCACCAGAAATCGTCAAGAGAAAGGTAGCGTTTATACAACAGGAATATTTTGTCATCTCAAAATAACTGGTCTATGCTGTTGTATAAATGGTACCTTTCTAAAAAGATTTTTGGTGAATCGTTTTGTACACAGTTTTGTTCTTACCGTATTTTCTCCAGAGGAGCTGATCTCTGTCAGCTGGAGTTCAGTTGTGAAAGCGGGAGGTCTCCAGACCCTGCCTGGAGGCTGGCAACCCTAGGCTGGCCCAAGGTCACTTCAGCCTCTTCCGGGGTGTTTGTCTTTCCTCCTCCAAAATGCTGGGAAGGAACATCCCTGACACCACCCATCATCCCAGAGACAAATCTCAATAACTGCAGTGACATTTTTGTTCAGGTGTGTGTGTGGGGGGTCCAGATTCAGGCCAACACCCAGGGAAAAATCTCTCTTCTGTATCTGTTTTTATACTGCCTCCAACCGACATGAAAGGCAGGATACAGATGGTTTGATAAATAAGTAAAATCTGAGGTGGGAGTGAGAAAAGGGTCAGAATTAGATTTGTTACAGCCCAACGGCCTCCCCCCACTAACAGATGTCTGGGAAAAGAAGATCTCCTATTCAATATGTAGGCGGGGGGGGTATCCTGGAAAGCATGTCTGTTGTAGAGGACGAAGAAAGATGACCCTTCTCTTCAGTGGAAGGGTAGGGATCCAAGCTTATTTCTTTTCTTCCACCTCTTGTTGCGCCCCCCCCCCAAAAAAAAATCTCACTGCCAGTATCCTGGAAAGCATGTCTGTTGTAGAGGACGAAGAAAGATGGCCCTTCTCTTCAGTGGAAGGGTAGGGATCCAAGCTTATTTCTTTTCTTCCACCTCTCCTTCATGCAAGAAAAGCACTTCCTAACGCCCAGGAACACATAGGCTCCCATTCAGTGGGCGTCTGTAGGAGGGTGGAGAGGAAGTGAGACACGTCTCTGTTTATCAAGGGGAATATGTGTGTGCTCTCTCCCTCCCATCCCACCAAAAAAAACTGGCCATGGAGGAGCACGACACCCTGTGAGGAATGAAGGGCTGTTCAGTGTGCTTTAGATGGGGAGGAGGGGGAAGGAGTGAAACTCTATTTGCCAAGCAAATCCATATTCCTGTTTTGTCCCCTCCCCTCTCCACCCGGGTCATTAAAGCATCCAGTTCCAATCAGCCTGCCATCTTTGCAAGGTGGAGGGGGGAGAGAGATCATTTTACTTCATTGATGGTAATCAAGATCAGAGTGTTTTCTTGTTCATCTCACTTTCACACACACAAATGGCCACCAAGGCACCCAAATACCAGACAAGCTACTTAACACGTGGGGGGAGGGGAGTACTGAAAACTGTCTTATTAGACACAAACTAAACTCTCACTGTCATCTATCTGATTTTGTTTTCATTGGGTGCCCAACGGGCTGGAACAGACCACATTGATGGGCCATATGAGGGGAAAAAGATGGGGTCTAAATTTTGTAAAATGGGTGAGTAGCAGGAAGGGTAGCTTTATCAGAGTGACCTCACTGCCCCAGCCCACTAGGGGCATAAGCAGACTTCCAGGGAAGTGTGTTCGTGTACGTGCGAGAGAAATATAAGAGTAAAATGGAGCAGGAATTATGCAGGCTCTCATTTCTCTGATGGAAAGGTGGCCTGTTCCGATTCACTAATGGGACTAGTATCTATGGAACAGAATTGACACATTCAAGAAAGGATCACAACTGGAATTCATGCAGATAGAAGTGAAAATCTTTTAATAGAAGGCAAGGTACAGGCCAAGTGCATGGAAACTTGCGTCAATGTGATGTCTCCTTTCATGGGGGAAATTTGTCGTCTTTGGGGTAAAGATAGATATAACCTGATCTGGGCACTCCACAGGGCGTGTTTGAAATAATGGAGGAAGGGCAGTGACTACTGGGCAGAGTTTTCAGTAAAATTAAAACTGAGTGTAATCTCAGAACTGCCAGGATAATTCTCATCCTTCTTTTCACATTTCGTATCTCCCCCCCCAAGGAGACAGCAGAACCTTGGAGAAGGGAATGTGTTCTGTGTAAAAAGGAAGCCCAAGGTGGCAAAGGGAACGGACTTCCCCAGACAATTTACATCTGTTTACATCTAAACAGAACAGTCAGCCTTGTGTGTTTTCCCTTCTCATCAGTTGAGATGATGCAAGTAATTACATAGAAAAGTTAGGCATGAACTCTGAGAAGGGGGGGGGGATTTGCGGTCTGTTGTGCAGGAAGTAATGGGGAGGGGTCTGTATGGAACCCCGAGCCATCTGCTCGGTCATAATGAGGAAAGAGAAAGCCCCATCCAGGTGGGTAGCCACATTGGTCTGAAGCAGTAGAACACCTTAAGAGTTCAGCATAAGGCTTTTAGCTTATCTCCACTGATAAACGGGGTGCCCGCAGTTAAGGCAGCGGTGTCAGTTTCAAAAGAGAGCAGCCTGTTGGCAGTGGGAGAAGTCTCCACACACCCGCTGGGCATAGCCTGAAGGAATTCTTCCCTTTCAATCCTGGAGCAGACGCGATCGGGAACTATGGTTTTGTCCACAGCCCTTTTGGGTGAAAGGCTAATGCCCCCTTGCCCTCTCCCAGAAGTGATGCCAGGGCTCACTTACTCCGTTGCACCCTCTGTTTAGGCAAAGCTGTTTGGAGGAGGACTGAAACTCCATGAAGGGTTTGGGAATTGATGGTGCTGCTGAGGAGGCCCTCGTTGGCTTTGCTTGCAGAATTACCTCACCCCGTAGCCCAGCCTGAGCCCCCTCGCTCTCTTTGCTCAGAGTCTGAGCACGGGTGGGAGTCTGTCAAGGGTGGAGTAGGTGAGCGGTCTGAGATGCAGGCTAGTCTTGCTCTGAGTTTTCTGAGCAAAGAGGGCTTTCCTTTCTGCAGATGGTGACATTCTTCTCGTGGGCTGACTTTGCCTGGCACGAGGGAGGATGGGGGCCTAAATCCTGCAAGTCATTTTTCTGAGGGGTGCTGGGGAGCCATCAGAGGACCTCAGTATGAAATCAGGGTGTGTGTGTGAGAGAGAGACAGGGTCCAGTTTACAGCTGCTGAAATGGCTTCAAAATAAGCCAGTTGCTCTTGTAGGGATTCCAAGCCTATTTGACGAGCTGACGGCAGTCTTGTGTGGTCTACATTTTTATCCAGAATTACTGCTGCCTGCTGCTTTTTTTTTTAATGTACGGAATCAGAGCATACGCTCCTAGTCTACCTGATCTATGGTTAGTGGTCTGGTGGATGTTGTCTTGCTTATGAGCCCATGTGCCTTGATGGATGAGGTCAAGGTCTACCCAATTCCGGCACCAAGCAGGTGATAAGGATCTACCTTCTGCTTATAGCCTTTCTAAGCAGTGTCTTAAGGATTCTTCTTACAGTCTGTAGCTCAGGCTCTTTTTTGGCGTGGCAAAAACCAGTGCAGAATGGCTTGGGTGCGGAGATGCGAAAGCCTTTCGTTACATAACGATACGGAAATGCGTGGCTGTTGATCGACGGGCATAGTTTAAAATGGAAAAACGCTAATGAATCTGCATCCCTTTGCTTTTTTTAAAGAAAATGGTAGTTGGATGGACTTGCCCTGCCTCTCCTCCACGAGCAAAAAAACAACACTGTGTAACGTAAAAAACCCGAAACTGCTGTCTAAACAAGAGAAGGGACAAATAATACAGAAGCTGTGATTCCTTTTTTAGAGTGTGCAAAAAAGGGGTTCCATCCGGGAGCCCCCTTCAAGGAACACCTGAATCTGTGTAAAGCCGATGCTGCCTTTTAACACCCATAGTGATCAGCATCTGTAGGACAGAATGTGTTGGTTTGTAATCTGCGAGCCTTGCATGTCTGTCAGAAGGGGATGGGAGAAAGAAATCTGCTACCCGCATAATTGTTTTTGAGAA